GGGCCAGCTGGAGCCGGGGCAGGAGGCGCGCGGAGGACCCGGGGGCTGCCGCGCCGGCCCCGCGGAAGCTAGCAGCTAGCCAGGGCCTTGGGCAGCCGTGACGGCCGTGGGCCTGCGGGAGGCCGAGCTGCCGCAGTCCTGCCAGCTCTTCCGCTCCGGACTGCCCGGAAGGAGCCTTTGCGAGCCCCAGGGTGAAGGGCCGGCTGGGGGCCTGCGGCTTGCAGTTTGCGGTCTGGCGTGGTGGGGCTGCCTGCGGCCGGGGACCGTCCCCGGACGCGGAGCGGCAGTTCCGACTGCCGGGCACAGGAACGGCAGAGCGTGAGGGCGGTGGGCCCCTGCTCAGGACGACCCCCACGGTCAGCTCCTCCGCGCACAGGTTGCTGTGCCAGCCCTGGAGAGGGGTGGGAGGAGGTGCCGTGGGTGTGCGGAGCCTGGGGCTGCGTGTTCGGAGCCCAGCGAGTCCAGAGGGGTTGGGACCGGGTTGGGAGTGGCAGGCGCAGGACGTTCCTTTAGGTCAGAGGGCAGAGGCGAGCTCAGGACGTAGGCCCGGTGTCCCAGCATGGAGTGGACGGGAGGACAGGTGGCGCCGGCGGAGGTGGGATGTGTCCAGCCCTCTGGACTGAGGGAGGCCGCTCTTGGGGCCTCGGGTGGGGCGTGAGGAAAGGTCCCCGCATCCCGGCTGGCTGCGAAGTGGCTGCAGGAGGTACCCAGGCCGAGGGGGTTGAGTGACAGGGTATAGGTGCTGCTGGGAGGCGGACAGTACCCCTCGAGAAACTGAGGCAGTGAGTGTGAGAACCGCTTCCAGGGTCCCTGTCCCTGGAGGGGCTCCCAGGGCAGGGGTCTGCGCCCGGGGGCCCTTGGCTCCTGCAGTCCTGAGCGCTGACCAGGTGCCGTGCTGCCCTTGTGGCACTCGGGAGGGCTCTTGCAGCGTACGGCATGCTCACAGCATGTCCAGGCCCTTTCCCCAAGTCCACCCTCCTGTCCATGGCCACGTGCAAACCCGCGCCTGCCCCCCCTACCCCGGCCTGTGCAGCGGAGTCTCCCCACGGGCCAAGCGGACGGAGCCTGGGTGCCAGGGTACAGCCTGGCTGTGGGGCGAGGGGTGCGGGGTGTCCCTGGACCTGGCGGTGGGGGGGGCGGGGAGGGTAGCGGAAGGTTGGTGACGGCTGCCCAGGAGGCTGGGGCGGGGGCACGCTGAGGGAGCGGGGTGGCCGGGTGAGCCTGAGGCCCAGCGAGAGAGGTCAGCGTGCACGCCGAGGGCTCTGTGATGGGAACAGCCTGGGGTCCGTGCTCCGGGGAGAGGTGCCGGGCCCAGGCCCTGGGGTGGCGGCCAGTGCTGTGGGATGGGGCAGGGGCCCCTGGGCTCTGCCACACCCTCACGGGCCCTTCCTCCCCGCCAGTCATCTGCAAGCAGCAGGCACCTGAGCTGGAGCCTCCCACCGCCCTGCCCCCACTGCCGCAGCCCCCCTTGGCACCTGCTGCGCCCGTCCCTCCGGCCCAGGGCGCCCCATCAGTGGACGAGCTCATTCAGCAGAGCCAGTGGAACCTGCAGCAGCAGGAGCAGCATCTGCTGGCCCTCAGACAGGTACGGGCCCGGGGGCCGTGCGCGAGCAGGGCCTCGGCACACCTCAGCCTCTGTCACCTTTGGCCCTGGCCGGAAAGGCCCTGCCCACCCCAGGGTCCCTGCCGTGTTCTTGAGACAGGGTGATCTCGGCTGTCATCTGGGGGCTTGGGGAGAACCCCAGTCAGCACTGCCCTCCCCTCTGCCCCTGACCCTAATCCCCCACAGGCCCTGTCCTCTGCCTGTGGCTGGGTGGCTGTGGGCACGGGGCAGGAGAGCCCTTGTCCTCCTCCGCCAGCCGCGAGCACACTGAGGCCCTCCTCAAGCGTCGGTGCCGCGGTCCCTCTACCCCTAGGAGCAGGTGACGGCGGCTGTGGCCCACGCTGTGGAGCAGCAGATGCAGAAGCTGCTGGAGGAGACGCAGCTGGACGTGAGTGAGTTCGACAACCTGTTGCAGCCCATCATCGACACGTGCACCAAGGACGCCATCTCGGTGAGGCCCTGGCTCCTCCGGGCCCCGTGGGCACAGCCGCCTGGTGGGCCCCACTCACCCTGCTGCCCTTGCAGGCCGGGAAGAACTGGATGTTCAGCAACGCCAAGTCCCCGCCGCACTGCGAGCTGATGGCCGGCCACCTCCGCAACCGCATCACGGCGGATGGCGCGCACTTCGAGCTGCGGCTGCACCTCATCTACCTCATCAATGACGTGCTGCACCACTGGTGAGCGGAGCCGCGGCCTGGCCCGGGGGTGGGGAGGGCCGGGCCGGGCCCTGCCCCCGCACCGCGGGCCGCCGTCCCGTGAGCTCTCCGGGCAGCTCGGGTCAGCGAGTCGGCCTGGGCGCTGCGCCACCTCTGCCCTCCGCATGTCGCTCTTTGGCCTGTCGCTCCGCCGCTGACCTCCTGGGGCCCCCAGGGCCGGCCCGGCCCACCGCGGCTCTGCAGGCCCTGCCCGCTCCGTCCCTGCACCACGCTCATCCCTGCCTTCCCAGCTGTGACAGGGTGAACTCTGTGACCCCTGGGTGGAGGTCAGGGTAACACAGAGGCCCAGGCGTGGGGAGGTGACTTGGGGCCCTGGGGACCCCAGCGCGTTGCAGTCACAGCTGCTGCCCTGCCCTGCACAAGCTTGGCTCTGGGTGGGGACAGCCAGTTGGTGGCATGGCGGCCCCAGGGAGCAGAGACACTGGCCCAGTTCCCCACCCTGCCGACTCCGTCTTGAACCACAGTGAGGCCTGGCTCAGCTCCCCGCTGCGCGCCCCGTGTCACCCCTCTTTGGAGGGACACGGTGCCCTGTAGCAGCTGCCCTCCCTCTCTCCCTGCTCTCGCGCCGCAGCCGTGCCTGGGCTGCTTTCCCGCACAGCCTTGGGAGGCGCTGTGACTTTCTGGGGAGGGCGCAGAGCCTCGCTGCTGGGCCCTGCTGTGCTAGGCCTGGTACAGAGTGCCTGGCATGCTGCTCGGGGGCCCACAGCGGGGCCCGGCCCTCCCTCCCAGGCGGCTTCTGCTTTGTGCTCAGCGGGTGACGGAGCACTGGGGAAGCGCAGGGCCCCAGAGTCGCAGCTGCCTTCTCACGCCCTGCGCCCCGAGGCTCTCACGGCTTCCTGCCCTCTCCTTCGCTGCTGCCCCGGGAGGGGGGCATACTCCACGCCTGCCGGGGCACCAGGCCTGGGGCACACCGGCCCCCAGACCAGGCACCATCTGGGCTGGGGTGGGGTCTGTGTCCTGAGAAGGCAGAGGGCGCCGTGGCCGGAGCCGCGATGGTAACGGGCGCGTGGCCGGGTCCCGCCCCAGGGCCCTGACGCGCGGAAGGTCTCTCCCTCACAGCCAGCGCAAGCAGGCGCGGGAGCTGCTGGCCGCCCTGCAGAAGGTGGTGGTGCCCATTTACTGCACCAGCTTCCTGGCTGTGGAGGAGGACAAGCAACAGAAGATCGCCCGGGTACGGCGGCTGGTGGCTGGGGCAGGCGGGGCTGGGGCTGGGGCTGGGGCTGGGGCTGTGCCCTCGCCCTGACACCGCCTGCTCTTCCTCCTCTGGCTGCTCCCGCCCCCCCCCAGCTCCTGCAGCTCTGGGAGAAGAACGGCTACTTCGACGACTCCATCATTCAGCAGTTGCAGAGCCCAGCCCTGGGCCTCGGCCAGTACCAGGTGAGTCCTCACAACGCATCCGGCCAGGCCCTGGCAGTGACTTTGTCACAACAGTGGCCCGTGCAGCTCACCGGAGGCGCACGTCCTGAGCCCGCCTCCCCTGCCCCAGGCCACCCTCATCAGCGAGTACTCGTCAGTGGTGCAGCCCGTGCAGCTGGCCTTCCAGCAGCAGCTCCAGACGCTGAAGACGCAGCACGAGGAGTTTGTCAGCAGCCTGGCGCAGCAGCAGCAGCAGCAGCAGCAGCAGCCGCCGCAAGTCCAGCTGCCCCAGCTGGAGGCCGAGGTCAAGGCCACGCCACCGCCACCGGCACCACCCCCGGCGCCCGCGCCCACCCCGGCCATCCCGCCCACCACCCAGCCTGGTAGGAGTGCCGCTGCCCTAGGGAGCAGCCGCCTGCCCTCCTTCCCTCTTTCCGTCCTTCCCGTGGCAGGCCTGCCCGTACCACACGCTCCTATTGAGTTCTGCCCCTCCACACACTCAGGCCAGGGGACTAGTTAGGGACACAGCTCTGTCCTGTGTGGTGTCCAGAAGACGGAGCTAGAACAGCTGCCCACTTGAGTTCAGGGATGAAATAACTCACGGTCAACAGGGTGGACACAAAGACTAGTACTGCAGTTAGGTCCGGCTGTGGTGTACACCTAGAGTCCCTGCACTCGGGAGGCTGAAGCCGAAGGATCACCACAAGTTTGGGGCCAACCTCAGCTACCTAGTGAGTACAAGGCCAGCCTGCACGACATCGTGAGACCCTGTCTCAGAAAAGAGAAAAAAAAAAGCTGCAGTTAGGGCTGGGTGTGTGGCTCAGGGCTGGAATGCCTGTATTTCGGAGGTGTGGGAGTGCTAGAATTCAAGATGAAATCCAGCGAAGTACAGGCTGGGCATGCCCCTCCCAGAGGCTGCCATCTGTGATGTTTTAAGCACTGAAGAGAATCACACACCCTTACAGCCTTTGACTTTGGATTTATAGATTAGGGATACTCAGCGAAATCTCTGCAAATATCCCGGAATTGAAAAGCCTGAAGTCTCTGGCTCTTGTGTGTTAGCTTAGGGGTATGGAACTTGGGTCTGAAATAGATCACAGTGGGCAGGACCGCCCCAGGATTAGGAGAACGTCCAGCACGTGAAATCTAATGTGATAGTGGGCATGGGCTAGGAGCCACATGGGGTGGCACAGCTAATAGCGCAGTGATTTGGGAGGCTGAGGCAGATAGATCCCTTGAGCCCAGGAGCTCAAGGCCGGCTGGGTCAACACAGAGAGACCCTGTCTGGAAAAATCAGTACTCAGTTAGAGCTAGAGGTGCAGTTTGGTAACCAGCACACATTCAGTGTGGACAGGGAGGCCTAGTGCTGTCCAGAAAAAGAATAACGGAGGGAACTGAACTCTTCTGGTGGTTTTTGTCTGTTTTTGAGACAGTGTCACTACGTGGTAATCCAGGGTGGCCTTGAACCTGGTATGTGACCCAAGCTGGTCTCAAACTTGTGACCTTCTTGCCTGTTTTCTAGCTGTGAGGTTTTAACTAGAAAAGCCTTTCGTTAATTTACTAGACCTCAATGGCAGGAAAAATTCTGCAAACTGGAGTTGGGGGTGGGAGGACTGGGCCGACACGTGCCGGGAAGCATTCGGAGACCAGCGTGGTCCTCAGGCTCAGGGGCCCTCGGTCCCCTCCCTGCAGGCAGGTGGCTTTCTGGTTCCCAGAGTTGGGCGCCAGAGGCGCTGTGGGAGCAGGAGCCCACACGGCGCTGGGTGGTGTGGGGGGTCGCTCCTCTGCCGCCCAGGCTCTGACCCCCTTTCCCTGGGGTCAGACGACAGCAAACCGCCCATCCAGATGCCTGGCTCCTCGGAGTACGACACCACAGGGGGTGTCCAGGATCCCGCAGCCACCGGCCCCCGGGGCCCTGGGCCCCACGACCAGATCCCACCCAACAAGCCACCTTGGTTCGACCAACCGCACCCTGTCGCTCCCTGGGGCCAACAGCAGGTATTTTGGAAACGGGGTGGGGGTACAGCTGGGGTGTGTGCGAAGGCCCTGTGTTTCATCCCGGTGTCAAAATAACGTGGCAGTGGGGACGCCTGGGCCCTGGGTGACAGGTGATGGCGAGGTGGGTTGTCTGCTGTCACTGAGTTCAGTCTTGGTAGGGCCCAGACTAGGGACCCTGGGATAAGGCCATGAGGGCCGAGGTCACTCACAGGGGGCCCGGAGACAGCGGGGGGCGGGCCAGGCTGACCCCACGCCTCACCTTGCAGCCACCCGAGCAGCCCCCGTACCCGCACCACCAGGGCGGCCCGCCCCACTGCCCGCCCTGGAACAACAGCCACGAGGGCATGTGGGGCGAGCAGCGCGGGGACCCCGGCTGGAACGGCCAGCGCGACGCACCCTGGAACAGCCAGCCCGACCCCAGCTGGAGCGGCCAGTTCGAGGGCCCCTGGAGCGGCCAGCACGAGCAGCCGCCCTGGGGCGCCGGGCAGCGCGAGCCGCCCTTCCGCATGCAGCGGCCACCGCACTTCCGAGGGCCCTTCCCGCCCCACCAGCAGCACCCGCAGTTCAGCCAGCCGCCGCACCCCCACGGCTTCAACCGCTTCCCGCCACGCTTCCTGCAGGACGACTTCCCCCCGCGGCACCCCTTCGAGCGGCCGCCCTACCCACACCGCTTCGACTACCCGCAGGGCGACTTCCCCGCCGGTGCGCGCCTGGGCCCTCGCGGTCTGACGGGAGGGGCTCAGAATAGGACACACCCCGCTAGGCAAGTTGGGAGGCTGAGGCAGGAAGCCTTTGAGCTGGGGGCTGCCTGGGCAACTTAGCAGCTTGATGAGGAAGAATCTGACTCGGGTGTCAAATGCAAGGCTGGATGACGGCTCTGGGCCCTCCTGAGGCCATGGGTGCAGGTGCAGCTCCTCACAGGCAGGCTTAGCTCCTCCCGACGGCCGGGGCCTCGTCCTGCAGCGCGAGCGGTGCGCACAGCTGCCGCATGGGAGGCTGGCCCTAGAGGCAGGGTCCCGAGCCCGTCCCGCCCACGCAGCCCACCCGTCTCACGCGAGCTCTGGAGCTGGGCCTGGGGTGCGGTCTCTGAGCCCTTCTTCGGGTGCTTGTTGCTAAGACGAGTGTCTCTCTGGCAGAGATGGGGCCCCCTCACCACCACCCCGGCCATCGCATGCCTCACCCTGGGATCAACGAACACCCGCCCTGGGCCGGGCCCCAGCACCCTGACTTCGGCCCGCCCCCCCATGGCTTCAATGGGCAGCCCCCCCACATGCGGCGCCAAGGCCCGCCCCACATCAACCACGACGACCCCAGCCTGGTGCCCAACGTGCCCTACTTCGACCTTCCTGCTGGGCTGATGGCCCCGCTCGTGAAGGTGAGGCCCTCGTGCGCCTGTGGCCCCGCCCACTCCTGCCCCTGCACGTTGTTCGCGAGCCCTGGGGCCCGGCTGGCTAGCTAGCGGGTTGCTCAGGCCCCGCGAGCCAGGCCTGTGGGGGATGCGGCATGGCTGGGCTGGGGGTCGCGCGCAGGGGTGGGAAGGCAGGTGGCCTGGACTGGGCGAGGGGTGCCCAAGGCAGCTCAGGCCGTAGGCGCAGGGCACAGAGCCGGGCGTCCCGAGTGCTTCTTGCCAGAATCGCTGTGTCCCCAACTGGGAACAGTTCCTGCTGCACAGTCCTGCCAGCCGGGGCACGGGTGGGCTCATCAGGGCACAGTGCCCCGGCATGACAGCGGGCTCCCGCAGCTGGAAGATCATGAGTACAAGCCGCTGGACCCCAAGGACATCCGCCTCCCTCCCCCCATGCCACCCAGCGAGCGGCTGCTGGCCGCCGTGGAGGCCTTCTACAGCCCGCCCTCGCACGACAGGCCCCGCAACAGGTGCGCAGCCGCCCGCCCAGCCCTGCGCCTCTCCCCGGGGTCGGCAGGCGGGGCGACCCCGTGGGCTCCGGCACCAGCTCAGCGCCCTGTGTGGGCAAGTGGGGCCGGCAGGGCACCCCTGCTCTCCACGCCCTGTGGCGACACTGGTGTGGGCTGGGGCGGGTGCAGGCCTGGCAGAGGGACGTCACCTGCACCGTGTCTTGCAGTGAAGGCTGGGAGCAGAATGGCCTTTACGAGTTTTTCCGAGCCAAGATGCGCGCGCGGCGGCGCAAGGGCCAGGAGAAGAGGAACAGGTGAGGGGCAGGGCCGGCTGGTGGACCGGCGGGTGGACGGGCAGTGGGCCGGCGGCGGCCTCCCTCACGGCGCTGTCTGCACAGCGGGCCCTCCAGGTCCCGGAGCAGATCCAAGAGCCGCGGCCGCTCCTCCTCGCGCTCCAACTCGAGGTCCTCCAAGTCGTCGGGCTCCTACTCACGCTCCAGGTCGCGCTCCTGCTCCCGCTCCTACTCGCGCTCCAGGTCCAGGTAGGCAGCGTGTGCACGCCAGTGCCGGGCCCCCACCCTCCCCCCATGCCCTGGCCAACCTGTGGCCGTCTCTGCAGGAGCCGCAGCAGGTCGCGCTCCTCCAGGAGCCGCTCGCGGTCGCGGTCTCGGTCCAGGTCCAAGTCGTACTCCCCAGGAAGGAGGCAGCGCTCGCGGTCCCGGAGCCCCACGCCGCCGTGAGTGCCGCCCACCCCCTCCCTGGCTGCAGGCCCCGGGGCGCCCCTTGGTCCTCGGGGGGCACGAGCCCTGTCCCATGCGCTGTGACGCCGGGCACCCGGAGGGGCTCGTTGGGCTGAGGGGGAGGCAGGTGAGAGCCCAAAGCCACCGCGCCTGGGGCTCGGGCCTGTCCCCCACTACCGCCCAGGTTTGGTCCCCTAAGCCTCGCCGACCCTTCCGTAGCTCCTCGGCGGGTCTGGGCTCCAACTCAGCGCCTGCCGTGCCTGACTCGCGGCTGGGGGAGGAGAACAAGGGCCACCAGATGCTGGTCAAGATGGGTGAGTGGGCCAGGGGCGGCGGGGCCGGGGCAGCGCAGCGTGCGGTGCAGCCGCTCACCGCCCCCGACCCTGCCCCTCCCAGGCTGGAGCGGCTCCGGCGGCCTGGGCGCCAAGGAGCAGGGCATCCAGGACCCCATAAAAGGGGGGGACGTGCGCGACAAGTGGGACCAGTACAAGGGCGTGGGCGTGGCGCTGGACGACCCCTACGAGAACTACCGGCGCAACAAGAGCTACTCGTTCATCGCACGCATGAAGGCCCGGGACGAGTGTGGGTAGCAGCCTGGGCTGGGGCGGTGGGGGTGGTGATTGCCCGGCCTGTCCCCACGCCCGACCCACCCCGCGCCCATCTGTCACCGCAGTCTCCACGTTCGGGGCACGCAAGGAGGAGAAGGAGGACTAGGCAAGGAGGCCCGACGGACGTGATGGCCGGCCCCGTGGGGACAGGAGCAGCGCCCCGCCTGCGCGGCAGGGTGGGGGCGGGCGGCGTCCCTGGGTCCCGCGGCGCCCTGTGTTCCTTAGTGGGCCGCACTGCTGCCCCCCACACCGCCCTTGGTCTCGGGAGAGGAAGAGGAGGCACCGCTCTAGGCGGGGACCCGGCACCAGGCAGCCTCCACGCCCAGCCGTGTCTGTGCGGCACCTGGGGAAGTTCTTTTGTATGGGGCACGGCGCTCCCCGCCACTGCGACCGCCACCTCCGCGTGGTGTTTGGTTTGTTGTAGTTTCCTGTAGCTGTGACTCGTTCGAGTGTGTCTGACCCAGGACGAAACACACACATGCTGTTCACACTTTTTGGTGGATTTTACTGTTTTGCTTTCCAATAAAGCCCTTTTCTAAAGCCCGGCCTCAGGAGTGTGACCCGGGCTGTCGCCCTGGTGCTCAGCTGTCACCCGCTGGCCGCCGTGCCACCTGCGTGGCGGAGCCGCACCGAGGTCTGCCCTTGCTGCCCTGCCCGTCCCTGGAGCCGCCGGTCTCAGTCTCCTCGCCCAGCCACGAGGTGATGGCCCCGGAGTCGCTCACACCTCGGGACAGATGGAAAGGCCTCGACTGCGCCCCCGGAAAGGGCCATGTCTGTCCCACGGTGGGCCCTGGCGCTCACGGCTCCTCTGCGTCCGGCACGGCATCCGCCCTGCTCAGCAGGCTGGGCCTGTGGCGCCTGATGTACTGCAGGGTACGGGGCACCATCACTGCCGGGGCTGTGCTAAGTCCTGTCACAGGGATTCTCAGCAGGGCTGGCAGGGACAGGGCTCAGCAAGAGGCCCGGGGCCCCAGCACGCACGGCCAAGCAGAAGGGATGAGCAGCAGGGGCAGACTGCGTCCCCTAGTAACTGGCCAAGGTGATTGCTGCCAGGCAAGCTGCAAGCCTGCAGGGGTGGCCAGCCAGGCCCAGAGCACCGCGGCCGCTGTCGGGGCCAGCGTGGTAGTCCTCAGCAGTGGCAGGTGAACTAAGGAGGCAGGGCAGGCGCCGGACAGCGGCCTCCCTCAGGCTCCCACCTGGCAGCACAGCAGTGGGGCCTCCGGCTGCAGGCTGGGCGGGCAGTGGGGGGCGCAGCGTGCGTGCTGAGCTCGCACGCCGTCCTGCCCTCCAGCCCCAGCACCTGCTGTCAACAAACTGCCAGGGGTGCGCACCTGTGCTTTCAGGTACTCAAGGCTGAGGCAGAAGGATCTCAAGTTGAAGCCCCGTGAGACCCTGTGGCAACACAGAGGCCTGACGTGCACAGTGCGTGGTGGCGCAGTGCCCAGCGTGTGCAAGGCCTTGGTTCCATCCCCACCAGAGAAACACTTAAAAATAATTTTAAATGGGGGTAACGTGCAGCTTCAAGGAGAGGAGAAATCTGCACACTGCATTTCCTGTCATACCAGACTGACATTATGACTTCCACTCCTCCCACCCCATACTGAGGATTGAACCTGGGGCCTTGACAGCAAGTTATATCCCTTACTCTTATGTTCTCAACAGGGTCTAACTTGCCATCCTCCTGCCTCAGCCTCCCAGAGTGCTAGGATGATAGGTGTGGCTACCATACTGAGAGTTGACCATTCTTTCAAAGTCATTTTCCAAGGCCAGGTGTGGTGGTGCACACCTATAATCCTGCACTGGGGAGGCTGACGCAGGAGGATCCTTGCGAGTTTGAGACCAGCTTGGGCTACAAAGTGACCTCAGGGTCAGCCTGAACTGCATAGCGAGACCCTGTCTCAAAAAGATAAAAAAATAATAGTAATAATAATTTTCCGCGGGACGTGGTAGTGCACACCTGTCATCCCAGCACTTGGGAGGCTGAGGCAGGAGAATTGCCGTAAGTTTGAGGCCAGCCATGGGTACATAGTTTCAGACCTGCCTAGAATATACAGCAAGACCCTGTCTCAAAAAAGGTCATTTCAGGAACACACACTGGAGTATTTCCATAGAGAGCGCTGAATCCTAACCACTAGAGCAGCAGGGATGGAGTATTTCCATAGAAGATGGGAAATAGAGCGGAGCCTCGGGTCTGACGGGTTCCTGCGGGCACCTCTGCGCCTGAGGCCGTGCCCAGCGCTGAAGCTACAGAGGGCCGTGGGCTGGGTACACCGTGAGCAGGGCTTGGCGTACTGCGCACACATTCTGTGGACACCACCAAGAGCTACGTTTCTGGAGGGCGAAGAGGTAAGGGGGACACCTCAAGGGACCGGGGGCACTGAGGGCCGTGGTGGGGACAGCCCGCCTAGGGGAGGCCGTGCCCCAGACCTCACACGGTGCAGCTGGGCGGGGAGCGGGTGGCGCCCCGCGCAGCCCCGCGGTGCAGCCGCCCGTGCGCTCACCTCCTTGGCCTCCTCCAGGCTGTGGTAGTGGAAGGCGTCCCCGTCCAGCGAGCGCAGGAGCGACACGTGCAGGTGGCGGCTGGCCTGGATGAACTGCTGCGTCAGGTGCAGCTGCTGCCTCAGCAGGTCGTCGAGGGCCACCGTGGCGGGGCTGTGGGCTGTCAGGGCTGCCCCCCAGCGTCACTCACGGCCCCAAGGCCCCTGACCCCACCATGGGCCGCTGCACAACGGGTACAGCCAGAGACATCAGAGGCAGGGTCCTGTGGGGGGGGTGTCAAGGGATCCTCCTGCCTCAGCCTCCATGCACGCTACTATACTTGACCAAAAACACATTTCTTGAAAAAAATTAAATTAAAAATAAAATAGGGCTGGGGTACGGTTCAATGGTACAGCACATACTCGGCTCATGCCAGGCCCTAGGTTCCATCTCCAGCACCAAAAAAATGAAAGAAAGCAAGACAGTGGCATATGCCTATAATCTCATTGCTCAGAAAGCTGAGGCAGGATAGTCCTGAGTTCAAGGTCAGACCGAGCCACACAGCACAAATAAATAAATAAATATTAAAATAAAATTCAGAATAAAGATTAAAAATCATGCCAGGCATGGTGACATACACCTGTCATCCCAGCACCCAGGAGGCTGAGGCAGGATCACCATGAGTTCGAGGCCAGCCTGAGCTACATAGTTCAAGGCCAGCCTGAATTATAAAGGGAGAACCTGTCTCAAAAAACTAAAAAAAAAATCAAACCAAAAAATGCAATTAAAAATAGAATTTATGCTGTGGCTCAGTGGCACAGCGCTTGGCTAGCATGCTCAAGGCCCTGGGTTCCACCCCAGAACACCAAAAAGAGAGACATTTAACTAAAAGTGCAAAATGAAAAGACCTGAGACAGCACTCAAAATAAAAGTATTTTGTCAGGTGGAAAACTGTTAGGTGAGTTTTGAGACAGGACTCCTGAGGCAGCCCAGCCAGGCCTCGAACCCCTAGCAATCCTCCTGCCTCAGCCTCCCAAGTGCCCTTGAAGTCAGGTCATATTTCCTTTATTTCTCTCACTCTGTCTGTCTGTCTCCTCTTCTCCTCTCCGCCCTCTGAAGCGTGGAGATGGACCCCAGCCCCAGCCGGGAGCTGCTCTGCCCCTTCCGGCTGTGTAGCACGGACACAAGGCCCATCATCAAACCCCTGTGACAGCCCCTGCCAAGGTCTCCCCGGCCAGCGTGTGTGTGTGGACCGGGCAGGGACCAGGCCACCCCTGCAGGCGCGAGCTGGTACCTTCTATGGCTTCCGCACTGACCACGTGCGGGGCGATGGGTGCCGGGTCCACGCAGCTGCCTCCCAGGGCCACGCCGTCCGCTGTGCCGAGGACAGGGGAGGGTGAGTGTGGGACATGGGGCAGCGACACCCACCGGGCCTCGTGGGGCGTCCGTGCCGCCTCCACCGCACGCACACTGCAGGCCGCCTGCATTTCCCTTGCGCTCTGAGGAACCTGGGATGGCCTGGGGCCTTCGTGCTGAGCTGTGTCCCACCCCTTTCTGTTGTATTTTGGGACAGCGCCTTGCGGGAATGTCTTTCCCAGGTCACAGGCGGGGAATAGGACCCTGTGGCCCCTCATGGACGTGCGAGCCACTAGAGGGTGGGCTCCCTGCAGCGCCACACCGTCCCACACATGGCCAGACCAGGTGAGCTCAAGGCCAGCCTGAACTGTACTGCGAGACCCTGTCTCAAAAAGACAAAAAGAAAAAAAAAGAAAGCCCACACTGCTCCCAGGGCCCCACAGACCACTCGCAGGCACCGTCACGGCCACCTTGGCCTGAGCCACACTCACCCTCTGCCCACGGACGGGCGGAGGCGACGTCCAGGGTCTGCACTGCCGTGTCCCTCAGTGTGACCCTCGCCATGGGCCTGGCCCGCGGCTGCCTCGATGCGGGGGGCCTGGGGAGCAGCGCTGCCCCTGTGCTGGAGGACGCGGTCTCCTGCATCCCCTCGGGGGCGTCCTCGGAGGGGCTGGGTGTGGGCTCGAAGTCCTCAGAGTACGCTGTGCTCGCTGAGCTCGACTCCAGGGCCAAGGACCCCAGCCTGCTGCGCACGCTGTCGCCCAGGCGCTCGGACACCTCGCTCTCGCTCTCGCTCTCCGTGGGGACGCCCTTGTCCCCAGCTCCAGGACTGGCCGCACCCTGGCATGCAGAGCTCCGAGGCTGAGGACATCGCGGCGCTTCCAGTCCAGCGGGAGCAGGCGCCTGGGCCACGAGGTTCCTGTCTGACGACTCCTCTCCCTGGGCGCCGGCTGCCTACGTGGAGGCGACAGAGGGACAGGAAGGCGGCTCCCAGCGGAGACGAGAGTGCAGCAAATGACACAGCCAGGCTGGGAAGGCCGAGTGGGCCTGGGAGCCAGCCCTTGGGAGGCTGAGGCGGGAGCATCACAAGCTCAAATCCCAGCCCAGGCAGTTCAGTAACTCCGAGAGACCCCGTGGTGAAATAAAAATTAAATAAAAACTGAAAGGGCGGGGGTGCAGCTCAGGCTGAGAGCGGGCCTTGCACACCTACTTGGGGGGCGCTCCGTGGCACTTACTTTCTGTCCCAAGTCTGAGTTCTCACTGACAGCCGGGGCCAGGTCATCAAGCGACAAAATATTGACCCTAAAATCTGTAAATGAACAGTGAATTTCCCGGTGAGAATGCTGCTGTCATCGCAGTTAGAAAGACCGAAGCCGCACACTGCCCTCCCCGGGCGGCCCGCGTCCTCCCGGTGGGGAGGCAGGGGACCTCGGGCAGGGCAGGGCAGTGTGGACGGCTGGGCCTCTCTGTCCGTGTGCTCAGCACGTTGGACTCCACGCATCAAAAACACCCCCAAAACACGGCCTCTTGCTGGCCGTGGTGACGCACACCTGTCCCCCAGCACTTGGGAAGCTGAGGCAGAGAGATCTCCCGTTTGGGGTCGGCCGGGGCTACGTGGCGAGGCCTCGTCTAAAGTGAAGTAGCGCACACAGCTCTGCGGACCCCGCGCGGGCCTTGCTCTCGTCATCGGCCCCAGCCCCGCAGTCCTGTGCCCGGCGACCGGAGGCAGAAGATTCGGTGTCGCCTGCCTGTGTCACTCGGGCGGGGACACTGGGCGCTGCCCACAGGTTGGCAGGCACCCAGCCCGGTGAGAGCCCCGAGCCCCCACGTGCAGGTCACAGCGTCCCCACCTCGAGGCCCGAGACCCAGCTTGCCCCCGCATGCAGGTGGGGCCCGTGCCTGGGGCCGCGAGGTCCCGGCAGAGGTGACGGCCGGGCGTCTGTGCCCCTCAGAAACCTCTCCGGAAGCCCCAGCTGTCCCTCAGAGGCCGTGGGATGGTAACTGGGGCTGTGAAAGCGGGCAGGCGCCCTGAGGTGGGACCGGTGTCCTTCCGAGGGCACGCGACCAGGACACTGGCTCGCTTCACTTCGTGGGGACACGGCAGGAAGGCGGCCACCTGCAGACCGAGCTCAAGGCTCAGCCAGCGACACCGCCTGTACCCTGAGCCCACACAGCCAGCGGCCGGGACGGCCCCCGGAGCATCTGCACGAGCTGCAGCCCGGCCCTTTTGTATGCTGTACTACTCTGAGGCAGGGTCTTGCTAAGTGGCCCACAGCTGATCTGCCTGGGCTGGGACTGAGCTTGCGGTGCTCCCGCCTCAGCCTCCCAGGTGCTGGCTCCCAGGCCCACTCCGCCTTCCCAGCCCGGCTGTGTCATTTGCTGCACTCTCCTCTCCGCTGGGAGCCGCCTTCCGGTCCCTCTGTCGCCGCCACGAAGGCAGCCGGCGCCCTGCGTTCAAACTTGCTCTCGTCCAGCCCCAGCCTTCCAGGGTGCCGGAGGCACAGGTCCGCACCCGCGTGCCCAGCCAGTGTGTTCTCACTGCTGTTTGCGGGCTGTGACGGAACCCATGGCTGTGCGTGTCAGGGAGGTGCGTGCCGCTGAGCCACAGCCCCACCCTGTCTTTACTCTGAGATAGAATCTCGCCACACTGCTCAACGTGGCCTCAATTTGTGATCCTCCTGCCTCAGCCTTCCCAGGAGGGCATCACAGGTATGCGGCCTCCCGCCCAGCCAATACCCCAGCACCTGGAGCGCCGGTACCACAAAGAAAGCACATTAGCAAGCGTCACAGCGACCACCTGGCCCCTCCTGCCAGACACAACACGTTACCGTCCAGGCTGTCATCGTCCTCCTGGTTGCCAGTGTCTGGGGCTGCGTCCTCGCCCGCCCCTGCTGCACTCCTTCTGGAGGAGGAGGAAAGCTGGCCGGGCACCGCTGTGGAGGACACTGGCTGTGCTGAGGTGCCTGAGACGGAAAGTGACGCCGTGCAGGAGGCGGGGCCCCTGGAAACGCAGGCCTGTGGGGAGTGCACGTGTGTGCGGGCACCCTGGAGGGCCCTGTGTGCAGACCCTGAGGCTGGCGGGCTCCGTGTCCATGGAGGCTTCACACCGGGACGGATCTGCGGAGTCCGGGTCTGCTCCTGCTTCAGTGGAAACAAAAAAGGAGAAGTGATCAAATTCATCACAACTGAGTTCTGTGGGATGGAATGCTGCCCAAGAGTCCCAAGTTCGGAGGCAGAGCCTGGATGTAGGTGTGGGGGGCTGAATTCTTGCCCCCAGCTCTTCCTCTCTGCTTCTTGCCTACCACAGGGTGAGCACCCTTCCTGCACTCACGCCCTCTGCCGCGCCTGCTTCTGCCTTGGAGCCAGCGGACCGTGGACTGAACCGTCTGGAAAACGCGAGCCAAATAAACCTCTCCTCCTGTAAGCTGTGGGTGTCAGGTGTTTTGTCCCCAAAATGGAAAAGCTGGCTGATACAAAAACTTGTACTAGGAGTAGGTTACAGCTGAGACAAGTAACCTGACCACACAGCTGAGAAGCCTTTGGAATTACCTACATGCAGCATGTGGGAAGGTTTGGAGATGCTGCCTGGAGAAGCAGCCCTAGAATGCCTCACGTCGAGCTTGACAGGAGATTCTGGTCAAGCTCAGAAGATCAGAATGCTGACAGGAATGTGGACAGTAAAGGCCAGGCTCAGGAGGTTTCAGACGGGAAGGAGGATTACATTGGCAGTTGGACAGACTAGAGGCCATGTGTGTCGTCCACATTTTGCCTGTCCTAAGACTTTGCATGAGGATGAATTTAAACACGGTGGACTAATTAATCCAGTAGAGAAAATTTTCAGGCACCTCAGTGCTCAGGTTGTGGCATGGGTACTGCTGGCTGCTTTTAGCCAGAACTATTGTGAGAATCAGTAGAAAAAAGCAGAGCTAAGCTGGGCACAGTGGTGCATGCCTTGTGATTTCAGCACTGGAGAGGCTCAAGCAGGAGGATCACTGTGAGCTAAAAACCAGCCTGAAATACACAGTGTTACCCTGCTGCAAAACAATTCTAAATAAATAGGTGGACAGATAGATACACAGATATAAAAGCAGAGTGAATGATTTGAAAAGCTTGCCAGTTCATCACAAAACAAGCACCTGGAAAGTTGAGGCCTTAGAGAACATGACTGCTGAAAAGTTTAACATTAAAACAGAATCCACCTGGGCATGGTGGTGCACACCTGTAATCCCAGCACTTGGGAGGTTGAGGCAGGAGAATTGCTGTGAGTTCAGGGCCAGCCTGGGCTACAAAGCGAGACCCTGTCTCAAAAAAACAAACCAGAGGAAACCTTACCGAGGCTGTTCTCCCAGGCTCTCTCTCTCTGACCTTCCCGCTGGGGAGCCCCAGACGGCTGCAGGTTTCTTCTCCGGAAAACTCTGCCAGGCTCCCCAGCACGGCGTGCATCTCCTCCGCATCACTGTCCAAAGAGCTCAGCTTCCCAGCGGGTTCACTCTGCCAGGGAGTTTTCGGCCTCTGCGTCTGTGTCCGCACCTGCACCTGTGGGACCCTGTCCTCCGCGGCTGGTGCCTTTGTCTTCAGGAACCTCCTGCCGTCCCTACCTGGCACCGGGCTCTCAACCTCAGAGGCTGCGAGGGCTCGAGTCTGGAAGGCCAGGGGGCTGGCAGTGCTCTCACAGGCCACGTCCTCTGACTTCTCGGGGGGACGCTCACTCACGGTCTTGGGGTCAGACTCCATGTCACCCCGCGTCAAGCATGCCTTCGCCCGGCCCAGGGTCTTGCTTTCCATCTGGGCCGCCTTCCTGAGCACCGCATGGGCTCGGACCTGCGACCCCGTGGCTGCCAGAGTGTTGCCGGCCAGGGTGCTGGTGGGGGACCTGCCTGAGCTGAGCCGGGGCCCCCTTCCCTGCCCTCCAGGTGCGGTGGCGCCCAAGTGTTTTGCACCCACACTTCGGTCTCGCTTTAGGAACCTGCCAGCCATGGGAGCCGCATGGGTGGGGTGTCTGTGGGAGGCCAGGTGTCCGAGGTCCTCCATCTGCAGCTCATCTAAGGAGACAGCACTGAGGTCAAAGACCCTGTGCCCGGGAAAGCTGGTTTCCCTCATGGATGCCATCCTAGGGACAAAGGAAGAGGGCTTATTGGAAGGAAAACCAAGGCTGGAAGTGTGCACCCTGGGGGCCCCCCCAACCCCCATCAGCTAACGACCATGGAACCCACTCGGGCACTGTCCCCTGCAAAACCCCAGTTGCCATCCATTCTGGTTGGGCTGGAGAGTGGGGCCTACTTTTTGCTTTGTTTTGGTTTTTCAAGATAGGGTCTCGCCAAGAAGTCCAAGCCATCCTCAAACTGTGTAACCCAGGCTGGACTTGAATTCCAGATCCTCCTGCCTCAGCTTCCCAAGTACTGGGATTACAGGCACATAGCACCACACTTGCCCAGCCTTGTTCATCTTTTAAAATTGTTGAAAAGCGGGGTGTGGTAGCACACACCTATAATCCCAGCACTCAGGAGGCTGAGGCAGGAGGATCCTTGTAAGTTTGAGGCCAGTCTGGGCTACAAAGTGAGCTCAAGGCCAGCCTGAACTGCATAGTGAGACCCTGTCTCAAAAAAGACCCAAAAAATCAAAATTGTTGTAATCTTTTGAAACCTCTATAAACCTTTTTCAATGTTTTGTTTTATTAGTACATGTCTGCGGCGTGCAGCAATCACAGTCACGGGGGGAAGTAATGAGAATGAAGCCGTGTCCTGTCCGTGTGCCGACTGCCCTCGAGGAATGTGACCACTCTGCTGCACGCACTGCTCATAAAAGCAGAACATTACAGAAGTACACTCCGCGAGGGGAGCCGGGCGGCGAACTATGGCATCTTGATCCTTTTTACCTCTCTTCTTGCCCCTCCGCTCACAGGTCCCCTGAATCTGTGACCCTCGAAGGGATGAGGAGTTGGTGAGGGCCTGCGACACTACCGTGGCCTGCACTGTCCCCCTCTCTGGCCCTCACCCCCGGGGCCCTGAGACAGGACTGTGCCTTATCTGGGTGTCCCTGGATGCCCTCAACCTCTGATCTAACGGCCCCTAGGGCCCCCGCTGTGCTCTGAGGGGGAGGAGGCAACGGCAGGGGCAGTCTCACCCCTGACCTACCCGCCTGGGCCCCTTCTCCTCATATTCAGGGAGTGTCCATGTGTTTGAAGAAAGAGGATCAACCTGTTGTGTCCTCTAGGAAGGTTTGAGAGTGCGACAAAGACTTTGGCCCGGACTGGTGGCCAAGGCCTGTCACCCCAGCACTCTGGAAGGCCGAGGCATTTGAGCTCAGGAATTTACCAACTCAGTGAGACCCGGTCTGAAAACAATTTTAAAAAGGGGGCTGGGAATGTAGCTCAGTGCAAAGGCCCTGGGTTCAACCCCCAGTGCCGCAAAAACGACTTCAAAGATAAAAAAGTAAAACGTGTGTGCGCGTGTGTGCGTGCGTGTGTAAGGGCGACTGTAGACAGCGCGGGGAGCAAGGGACGCGGGGACAGCCTCATTCACCCCTGCGCGGGCGGGAAAGTTCCACGGCTGCGGAACCAGGCTCAACTTTGTAAGTTCACCCGGAATACCGGCACCTACGCTTACGAGAGAGCGGAGAGTAGGGCAAACAAAAGAAGACGTTAAACGCAAACGAAGGAAACCAAACACGGCGCCCCACGCTGTGTCCGGCTCTTCTCCCCTTCCCCGAAGCAACCCGCACCAGACCACCAGGCAGGGCGCCCCGGATAGGGAAACTGAGGCGCGAGGCGCCCTCCCGCAGCCCATCTCGGGCCCGCACCCGCCCGGCCCGGTCCTCCTCCAGTGCTGCCCTACCCGGAGTGGATCGCAGCCCAGTACTCTGGGTCCTGTTGCCCGGGCAACCGTGGGGGAGGCCGCCACTGCATCTTCCGCTGTCCGAGCACCGGGGGACCAATGGCGCCTCAGGTAACAATCTCGGTGCATCATGGGAGTAGTAGTTCGGGCGCTCCAGGCGTGCCCCAGCTCAGGAAGCCAATGGTCCCTCCGGTCATAATCGCGAGGCATCACGGGACTTGTAGTTTCGGGGAGACCCCGGCATGCACCGCGCGGAGGGGGTGGGGCTCCATAGTGGCTACGTCATAATCGCGAGGCGTCACGGGAGTTGTAGTTTGTGGACGTCCCGGCTTGCTACAGAGACCACTGGGGGCAGAGTGGCCTCGCAGGAGGAGCGCAGCGCGCCCCCATGGCTTGGGCTCGCGTCTGTCTGTGGGCCGTGTGCGCGTGCGCGCTCCGCGTGGCGCTGGCCACTGTATACTTCCAGGAGGAGTTTCTGGACGGAGGTGACTGGAGACGCCTGGGGAGGCGGAGCTTCGCGGCCCTCCCGCCGCGCCTCCTTTTACCCTCAGCCCGCTGTTGTCCCCGCAGAGCGCTGGAGGAACCGCTGGGTGCCGTCCACCAACGACTCCCGGCTCGGCCACTTCCGACTGTCGTCGGGGAAGTTCTATGGCCACAAAGAGAAGGACAAAGGTCAGTGTGGACTCCGGAGAAGCCGAGCCAGGGCTAAACCCCCCAGCTCGTATTCTGTTTTTGGTGGTACTGGGATCGAGCCCCGGAGCGCCCCAGCACTCAGCACCCTGCTCAGCACGGTCCACCGTCCACCCATCCGTTTTGAGACAGAGTCCCCCAGAATCGCCAAGTGGGATTCGAATTTGAGATCCTCCTGCCTCAGCCTTCCTCAGTGCCGAGATTACAGGCGCAGAGCACGCTTTGGCCACCGGGGCAGAAAGATTTCCATTGCCTTGGTGTTTGTTCTCTTCTTTCTCTTCTTGCCCCAAATCATCCACACACATCGAATCAGATGAGTCTGGGGACTAAGGCCTTGCCTCACGAAGTGTGAGCCCAGCTCGGGCACCTTCGTGATTTAGCTTAGCGAGGCCCTGTCTCCAATAGATGAGAGATGGGGAGGGAGGTCCTCAGAGGGCCTGGGCTCCACCCCCAGCACGGAAGCAAGCGCGCAGGCCGGCACGCACTTCTGTAGAGCAAGGAGGAAGCAGAGTGGAGGGTGAATTACGGGGTGGGAGGGAGTTTTCGCTGTGCTTTGACAGAGAATTGATACCCGGTATACATGAAGAATTTACCTCCAAAAATCCAACACAGTACTAAATGGACAAATGAAGTCAACAGGCGCTTGTCAAAAGACGGGCAGGGGGCCTGCAAGTGTGTGAAAAAACGGTTCACTATCTTCAGGGAAATGCAGATCAAGACTGTGTTGAGAGTCCATCTCACCCCGAGAAAGTGGCTACTGCCAAGAGTACAGTCATCTGGGTGCAAAGGCACACACCTGTGATGTCAGCACCCTGAGAGGCTGAGGCAGGAGCATCACAGGTTCCCCCAGCCAGTTTCTTTTCACTGCCTCCAGTTCCCCTCCGGCATGACCATGTGACTCCCTGGTACCATGAGTCCTGCAGCCTCTGGCTTTGCCTTGGGCGCACATGTTATAGAAGGTACATCTTGAGGCTGGGCCTGGTGTCGCACACCTGTACTCCCTGCGCCCAGGGAGGCTGAGGCAGGAGAATCACAAGTTCTAGCCCAGCCTGGGAAGACTCTGCCTAAAAATAAGACTGGGGATACAGCTCAGTGTGAGGACGCTGGGTTCCATCCCCAGTGCTGAAGCAGAGAAAAAAAAGAAAGGAAACAAACAAGTTGACCCAAAGAGTCAGCAGAACCTCACCAGAGGAGACACGGCCGAGCCCACGGCCACGCCACAGCCCGCTCCCCCAGTGCTCCGTCCTCCTCGTTTGGACCCGAGGTGCTGTGCCCATGTCCCCATCTCAGCATATGCTCCCCAGGGGTGCACAGGCAAGGTGCTGGGTGCGGTGACAGCGGGGGCCTTGCCTCTGGGTCCCCGGGGACCCCGACTGGGCACGTGCCTGAAGCAGGAGTTGCGTATCATCAGGCAGGGATGGAAGGGTGGGAGAGAATGGAGGCGGCATGTGGCCCGGTGGAGGGGGTGGGCGGGGACCCCAAGTACCCTGAGAAAGGGGTGCAGAGCGAGGGGCATGGGGAGTCAGCTGGGTCTAGGCTTGGACACATGGGCAGAATGCCACCTTCGCTTGTGCTGGCGCAGGGCGGGTGAACGGGAACGGCCCCGTCCGTAAATGTGTGACAAATGCCGTATGAGAAAAGAGTGTGGGAGTCAGGCGCAGTGGCGCACACCTGGCACCCCAGCACTCTGGGAGGCTGAGGCAGGAGGATCGAAGGGTTAAACCCCGCCGAAACAACTTAGTGAAGTAGACACACCTTGCATCGAAATAAAAAAGTTTTAAAAAGGCGCTGAGGATGGAACTCAGTGTGAAGGCCCCGGGTTCAACCTCAGTGCCAGAAAAATAAGAACTTGAGGGTTTGGAGTTTAGCTCAGTGTTAGAGCACTAAAGAGAGAGACAGAGAGGGCTGGGGATGTAGCTCAGCGGCACAGCGCCTGCCTGGCAAGCGCAAAGTAATGAGTTTGATTCCCCGTACCGGAAAAAAAAAAGAAGAGAGAGACAGAGAGAAAGAAAATGATTTGTTACCTGCTGAGACACAGGGGTTGGCTCTTGAAGGCAATGCCCAAATTTAACCAGAAAAAATTCGAAGTTAGTGTGGTGATACACACCTGGGATCCCCACACTCAGGAGGCTGAGGCAGAGGAGTACAAGTCGGAGGCCAACCTAGATAAGCCCTTGTCTCTCTTTTTTTGGTCTTTTTGAGACAGGGTTTCACTATGCAGTTCATGCTGGCCTTGAGCTCTCTGTGTATCCCAGAGGGGTCTCAAACTCACAATGATCCTCCTGCTTCAGCCTCCTGAGTGCTGGGATTACAGGCGAGTGCCAGCACACCTATAAAAACAAAATTTTATTTTTATTTTTTGGTTTTTGTTTGTTTGTTTTCTGCTACTGGGAATCAAACTCACAACCTTGCGCTTGCCAGGCAGGCACTGTGCCGCTGAGCTAAATCCCCAGCCCCTAAAAACAAAATTTTAAAGAAGGCTGGAGGTGAGCCAGGTGTGTGCTCTCAGCACTCGGGAGTGGAGGCAGGAGGATCGCTGGGAATTTGAGGCCAGCCTGGGCTACACAGTGGGATAAAGAAAGAAGCAGCGTTCCGCGGGTGAGGTGAGGGGCCCCGCCGCTCCGAGCCTGCCCTCAGCCTCTCGTCCCCAGGGCTGCAGACCACGCAGAATGGCCGCTTCTACGCCATCTCCGCGCGCTTCCCGCCGTTCAGCAACAAGGGCCGGACGCTGGTCCTGCAGTACACCGTGAAGCACGAGCAGAAGATGGACTGTGGCGGCGGCTACGTGAAGGTCTTCCCCGCCGGCCTGGACCAGAGGACCCTGGGTACCAAGTCCCCCTACTACATCATGTTCGGTGAGCCGGGCTGCGGGCGCCCGCCTTTCCACCGGGGCGCGGCAGGGGGCGCCCCAGCCCGACCGTGAACCCGGTGTGCGCTCCCGTCCGGCGCTGCGTGGTTGAGCCGGGGCCTTGGCGCGCTCAGCGGGCGTTCTGTCCCTGGGCACACCCCGGCCCTGACGTGCTCTGAGCGCCAGCGCGCAGTCGGAAAAGGGTACTGCAGCCAGGCCTGGTGCACAGACCTGGCATCTCAGCACCCTGGGAGGCCGAGGCAGGAAGATCACCAGGGTGAAGCTGACTTGGGCAATTTAACAAGGTAGTGAGACCCTGCCTAAACAAGTAAAAAGGGCTGTGGATAGAGCCCAGCGCGATGGCCCCGGGTGCCGTCCTCAGGACCGCAGTCCATAAAGAAATACTGTGCGCGGCTCCACGTTGCTGACTCACAGTTCCCTGTGCTCCAGCGCCTCTGCCTGGGCTCAGCTGGGGCGCGGAGGAGGAGGAGGAAGAGTGCATCCTGGCCTTCCCGGGGGCTTCCCACGTGTGGCCTCAGGCTACCCATGAGACCCCGTTTCATAGAGCAGGTGCTTGTCCAGAGTCAGGTCAGCCCAGCACCATGTCCTGCACGTCCCTGACACAAATAAATTCCATGCAGATTGTTTTTTTGAGACAGGGTCTCACTATGTAGGTCAGGCTGGCCTCGAACTCACAGCAGTCTTCCTGCCTCAGCCTCCCAAGTGCTGGGATAACAGGCATGTGCCACTGTGCTCAGAGGCTGAGGTGCTCAGGTGCTGTAAATACCAAATTAAATCCATGCCATACCGGGGATATAGCTCAGCAGCACAAGTACCTGCTTGGCAAGCGCAAGGTTCTGAGTTTGATTCCCGGTACAAAAAAAAAATCCATGCCAGCAGCACTTGGGAGGCTGAGCCGGAGGATCACCATGAGCTCGAGGGCAGTCTAGACTATACAGGGAGTTCAAGGCCAGTCTAAGGAACATAGACGGTGTCTCAAAACCAAAAAGGAAAAAAAAAAAAGCTGGGGGTGGTGGCACACGCCTGTGATCTCAGCACTCGGGAGGCTGAGGCAGGAGGATTGTTGCAAGTTCAAGACCAGGCCTGGGATACAAAGTGAGCTCAAGGCCAGCCTGAGCTCCATAGAGAGACCCTGTCTCAAAAAGACAAAAGAGGGGCTGGGGATTTAGCTCAGTGGCAAAGCGCCTGCCTGGCAAGCGCAAGGTCGTGAGTTCGGTTCCCGAACCGGAGAAAAACCAAAAAAAAAAAAAAAAAAAAAATAAAAAAAAAAAAAAAAAAAAAAAAAAAAAAAAAAAAAAAAAAAAAAAAAAAAACCCAAAAAAAAAAAAAAAAAAAAAAAAGGAAAGAAAAAAATCCATGCCAGGTGTGGTGGTATACACCTGTCATCCCAGCACTGGGGAGGCTGAGGCAGGAGGACTGCTGTGATGTGAGTTTGAGGCTAGCCTATGCCACACAGCAAATCCATGTCTCAAAAGAATAACAACTAAAAAAATATCCATTGGGCTGGGGGGGGTGCATGCAGCTCAGTGGTAAGCACTTGCCTGGAATCCCCAGGGCCCTGGGCTCCATCCCTTTACTACAAAACAAAACCCTAAAACCCCATACACACACACACACACACACACACACACACACACGAACACACTCACACATTCACATACACACAGCCTTTTAACTTCTGCATGGACTCGAGATTGTACTGCCAATCAGAACCTGTACCCTGATCATAATCTGCCTTGTGCCTACGATCTGGATTTATCATTAAGGACACAACGTCTGGCTGGTTGTGCTGGCACACGCACACCTGTCATCCTCATAGTACTCTGGGAGGCTGAGGCAGGAGAGTGGCAGGTTTGAGCCTAGCCTGGACAACTTAGTGACTCAGCGAGACCCTGTCTCATATTTAAAAAGAAGACAGAGGGGCTGGGCATGTAGCTGACTGCAAAGGCCCTGCGTTTAGTCCCCGGTTCTGAAAAACATCTAAAACACAATACGTGTATGTGCTGGGGCAGCAGGTCACACACAGGTGAGTGACTTCGTGGGCCCTCGGTGGGCAGGCTGCTGTCTGGGGCCGCAGGTGCCGGCTCTCCTCGAGCAGCGGGGCCACATGGGCCAGCCCAGGGTGCCCTCAGGACCGGGAGCCAGGCCTCGGGGACACCGTGGTGACACCGGGCCTGCCCCCTCGTAATGCGGGGCAGGGGTGATGGTCAGAGAGGCGAGCAGACCCCGTGGCTGTGGTCAGCGCCGCTTGTTGGGGAGTCTGTCCCGAGCCTGCGTGGCGTGGGCGGCAGAGAAGGCGCTGAGGGCACCCGTGTTGCTCGTAGGACCTGACATCTGCGGATACGATCTCATGAAAGTCCACGTTATTTTGCAATTCAAGAACGAGTATCACGAGAACAAGAAATCTATCAAGTGTAAGGTAATTACTCTCACACTCAGGCAAGTGGCTTTGCTTGTCTCCTTTCTCTTTCCTTCGTCTTCCCTTTCGTTAGTATTTATTTTATTTTATTTTATTTATGTATTTTTTTGAGACAGGATCTCACTATGTAGCCCAGGCTGGCCTTCAACTTGCAGTGGTCTTCCTGCCTCAGCCACCTGAGTGCTGAGATTATAGGCGTGCGCCCCCTACACCCAGCTCCCTTTTATTTTTTGAGATGGAGTTTCATTCTGTTCCCCAGAGTTGCGTCAAACTCCTGGGGTCCTCCAACTCAGCCTCCCGAGCAGCTGGGCCTATAGATGCCACCCAGGGCCCAGCTCATGACCACCCTTGCCCTTGATGAGTGTGGAGGAGTCCAGCTGTGCCGGCGTCCCGCGAGCCCAGGGTGGTTCAGCGGGTGACCTGGGTCCTGGGCCTGCGGCTGGTGGCCTGCCCCCGCCCCCTGCTGCCCCTGCTCCGCTGTCTGAGTCTCCGCCCAGCAGGAGGCCTCTGTCCCACCCCGTGACTGGTGACGGTGTGTTGTCCCTTCCTCGGAGGGGTCACAGCAGCCCAGTCCCCCTTCGCCAGCACCGTCAGCATCGAAGAGCCAAATACCCAGGATAAGAAGGCATTCTGGGAACTCACACAATGCCTCAACCGCAGCACGTCTGAAGTGGCAATAGTTCTTTTTTTATTTGTTTTTGTTTTTTTGAGACAGGGTCTCACTTTATTGTGCAGGCTGGATTTAAACTCACTGTGTAGCCCAGGCTGGCCTCGAACTCGTGGCAGTCCTCTTGCCTCAGCCTCCCGAGTGCTGGGATCATAGGCATGCGCCTTCACCCCTGGCTAAAGTGGCAGTGTTTCTAAAATGACGTCATACTTTCCTGCTTTTCTTTTTTTTTTTCCTTTCTTTCTTCCCTCCTTCCTTTCTTTCTTTCTTGTTTTCTTTTTCTTTCTTGCTTTTTTACTCAGGAATCCCATGTAAAAAAAGTTTTTCCTTTGGTACTGGGGATTGAACTGAGGGCTTTCTCACTGAGCTGCACCCCAGCCTTTTTTTTTTTTTTTTTGTCTTTTTTTTGTCTTTTTAAAACAAGGGTTCACAATGCCATTCAGGCTGTCCTTGAGCTCACTTCGTAGCCCAGGATGGCCTTGAACTTGCAGTGACCCTCCTGCCTCAGCCTCCCACATGCTGGGACTATAGGCGGGAGCCACCGTGCCCAACTTCTCTTTGCATTTTTCTGTGCACTTTGGGCGCTTGTGCGGACCGCAGGGAGCTGCTGAGGGTTTCCCCGTGCTCCTGTCCCCTCTGCCGTACAGGTTGACGGCTTCACGCACCTCTACACTCTGATCCTGAGGCCGGACCTCTCTTACGAAGTGAAGATTGACGGGCAGACCATCGAGCTGGGCAGCATCGAGTATGACTGGCAGTTGACGTCGCTCAGGAAAGCGGAGCAGGCGGCGGCCCCAGGCGCAGGCCCAGGGAAAGCTGGGACAGCCCAGGTGCGTGGCCACCCGCTACCGTGCTTCTGCACCGGCAGGAAAGACGGTGACAGTCTGGTGACCCCGGCTGCCTTTCCCGAGCACCCGCGTTGAGCCCAGCCACTCATCAGATGTGGCCGTGTGTTGCAGAAGCGTTTCCTCACGTTTGGGACGGGAGCAGATGGGATATTTTTGTTTTGTGTTTGAGACACAGTCTCGATCTGTTGCCCAGGCTGGCCTTGAACTCGTGGTGATCATCCTGCCTCAGCCTCCTGAATGCTGGGATTACAGGTGTGCGCCACCACACAGCCAGTCAGATAGGATTTTTGTTGTTTGTCTTTTTGAGACAGGGTCTCGCTATGCAGTTCAGGCCAGCCTTGCACTCACTTTGTAGCCCAGGCTGGTCTTGCACTCACAATCCTCCTGCCTCAGCCTCCTGAGTGCTGGGATTACAGGCGTGCACCACCACACCCGGCTCAGATAGGATTTTTTAATTTCTTTTTTTAATTTCTTTTTTTTTTCTCTTTCTGGTACCGGGAATCGAACTCATGACCTTGCGCTTGCCAGGCAGGGGCTGTGCCGCTGAGCTAAATCCCCAGCCACACTCCCTGCTCAATGGCACTGCTGCGTTGTCCCACCACCCTCCAGTCCCCCCTACCCTTGCCACAGTCCCCGTGTGACCCTGGCAGAGGACAGACGCACCGTAATACGTGGCCCCCTCCCGCCGTTACCTTTACCCCAACATTTTACCCTCAGCCACAGTGAGAGGGGCGGAATCCCACAGCCTGCTGCAGCCCGCAGCCTGGGCACCTGGGTCCCGGAGCTTGCGGCCCTCCCAGCAGGAGAGGGGACCGGGGGTGCAGTCGGGCGCAGCTCTGCGGTGCGTGCTGCAGGCCGGGTGCCCGGCCCTCTTCCTTCCACAGCTCTGCAGTAGAAGACAGACGAGGCTTCCTGCCCGAACCCGGGCCTGCCGCTGTCTTGCAGGACTGGGAGAAGCACTTCCTGGATGCAGGGACTGGTAAGCCGGGCGACTGGAACAGCGAGCTGGACGGGGACTGGCCGGGGCCCATGCTGCAGAAGCCGCCGTACCAGGTGCGTGGCGCCGCCGCGGTGCCCGGGGACGTGCCGGGCTGGCCCCGCACCCTGTCCCCTGGACTGGCCTGTGCTTGGCTGTTGCAGGACGGCCTGAAACCAGAGGGAATCGATCAAGACATCTGGCTGCACGAGAAGATGAGGAGCACCAGCTACCTGACACAGTACGACCTCTCAGAGTTCGAGAACATCGGCGCCATCGGGCTGGAGCTGTGGCAGGTCACGCGGCTTCCGCTTGGCGTCATTTCATAATCTGGAATTTAGCCAGGCCTGGTGACACACACCTGTCACCCCAGGACTTCGGGAGGCTCAGGCAGGAGGGTCACAGGTCCCAGGCCAGCCTGGGCTACACAGTGAGGCCCACTTCAAAAAACTAAACCGAACCAGGTGTGGTGGCGCATGCAGGTCATCCCAGCGCTCAGGAGGCTGAGGCAGGAGAATTGCCGTGAGTTTGAGGCCTGCTTGGGCTACATAGTGAATTGAAGGCTAGTGTGAACTGTGTAGCAAGGCCCTGTCTCCAGAAAGACAAACAGAAAACAGAAAAAAAAAAAACAACAAACCAAAACAATGAAGGCCTTCTCCCCTGCAGGTTAGGTCGGGAACCATCTTCGATAACTTCCTGCTCACAGATGATGAGGAGTACGCGGAGAGTTTCGGGAAGGCAACCTGGGGCCAAACCAAGGTAGGGAGGGTGCACACACCTTCTATTAGCGCTCGCCGGCTTCTGTGACTCCCAAGCCGGACTCTGTCGTGTGGGCGAGGACTTAGGGGTTTGGCTCGTGAGCCCACAGCCAGCTTGGCACCCGGGGGATTTCCAGGAGCCACCTCCAGCTCCCAAGAAGCACACCCTGTCCATGCCCTCGGAGCCCACGGGGAGGCTGGCACAGCCGGTTCTCTGCCACAGTAGCAAGTATGCGGCAGCCAGGGCAGGAGGAGGAAAGGTTGCTTTCGGCTCATGGCTCTGCAGGGTCCAGTCCACAGCGGCGTGGAAACAGCACGTGGTGGTGGGTGGGTGTGGCAGAGCTGAACCGCTCGCCCCAGGGTGAGCCAGGGAGCAAGAGAGGGACTGGAAGAGATCAGTACCCCAGGCCCCTGCGGTTCCCGCCCATGGCCCCCAGACCTCCCTCCTAGCCTCACCTCTTAGGGCCCCACCTCCTAGCGGTGACAGATGGGGGGCGCAGCTTCTACCACATTGGCCAACTGTAGCAGAGACCTTGCAACATCGATTTTTTTTTAGTGCTGGGATTGAACACAGGGGCTGTGTTCTGAGCTCCATCCCCTGCACCCTGATTTTTAATTTGGAGATATGGTCTGCTAAGTCACTAAGTTACCTTGAAGTAGCGATCCTCCTGCCTCAGCCTTCCTGAATGCTGGAATGATGAGCCTGTGCCACTGCGCCTGGCTTCGTTTCCAGAGAGTGCTGTGAGGCCTATTCCTGGCGGTGCGGTAATGACGTCTGGTCCTTCTGTGACTGTCCAGAGTGGACCTGTGTTCTGTCCCTGCAGCTTTGCGTGGCCTCCGGCTTGGAGCTTTCTGAATGAGGCTGCCCCAGCCTCCCTGTCTCAGGATAAGCCCCAGGTCTCCCGCCAACCCCAGAAGCAAGGGTAGTACCCATCTCTGTATAGCACAGGCGCTGCCACCACCCCCAGCCGGGACGCCCCGCCCATCCCACAGTCCCACTAGTCCCGGCCCGGATCCTTCCACCAAGGCACCAGGCGCCCGTCTGGCTGGGCTCACGGGTCCGCGGGGTGGGGATGTGCAGGGGGTGTGTGTGTGTCCTCTGGCTGCCATCCCCGGGGACCCCGCAGTGGCTGCAGACGCAGAACACACAGCCCTCCTGACTGGTGCAGGAGGCCGGCGGGGGGGAGTCCCAAGCTGTCTCACTGGGCGGGAGTCAAGGTGGGCTCAGGCCGTGGTCTCCCCGAGGTTCCTGGGGAAGCCAGGGATCAGCTCCTGGTGAGCCCCGGCTTGTGGCTGCACCAGGCTGGCCTCTCCTCCCGTGCCCCGCGGCCGGCCTTCTTTCCCCGGGTGTGTCAGATTTTCTTTCTCCTCTTAGGAGGAGCTTGCCACTGTGTCTGAACCCAGGATCCCCCGGCTCGGTCGCCTGCGTGTGGTGTGGAGCCTGTAAGCGGCGGCCACTGGGCGGAAGCGGGGGCCACTGGGTGTGGTCCCCCGGCTGCGGCACCGCCACCTCCCCGCAGGGGCCGAGAGGAGCCGGTGCTCCCTAACCGGGATGCCCGCGGGCGCTGCGCCAACCTCTCGGCCGCAAAGCCACGGCAGCTGGGAGCCGGGGAGTTCTGCACCTCGGAGGCGCCTGCGGAAGGGGCCTGGGGAGGAGGCGCGGCGGGGCCCAGGACCTCGCCGCAGGGAGCGCACCCTCCCGGTGGTCTGTGCCCAGCTCCCCAGGGCAGGGCAGGTGGAGCCCCGGGCTTCCCGGCCTGTGCTGCTGTTCCCCCGCAGGGCCCAGAGAAGGAGATGGACGACATCCTGACCAAGGAGGAGGTGACCAGAGCCCGCGAGGAGGAGGAGGAGGAGCTGCTGGCGGGCGGGTTCAATGAGCCTCAGCGATTCTTCCAGCGGTTCCACCGGTTTCACCAGCATAAGGAGCTGTAGGCCCCGCCTGCGGTAGGCGGGGTGACTGGTAAAACCTCCCTTCTCCTTTGCTGGGCCTCTGTGTGCTCATTTGTCCAGTGCCCCTGAGTAACGTCCCTAGGGCCCTGTGTGCTGGTACTGCGGCGCTCAGGAAGCTGAGGCAGGAGGGTCATCCCGAGTCGAGGCCAGCCTGGGTTACATAGTGAATTTAAAGCCAGCCTGAACTCACAGCAAGACCCTGCCTCAAAAAACCAAAACAGCCCCTCCTCCCCAAAAGAAAAAAGAAAAACACCCCCAGGCTCCTCAGGGCGGGGGTTGAGTCCCCTTGCAAGCCTGCACCAGAAAGGTTTCCTCCATGGATCTGTGTGGCAAAGACAGTGTTCTTTTCTGAATCTCTAACATTAAAAAAAAAAAGTGGGGGACTGGGGATTTAGCTTAGAGACACAGCACCTGCCTGGCAAACGCAAGGTCGTGAGTTCGATTCCTGGTACCGGAAGAAAAACAAACAAATAAAAGTAGGGCCTGGTGTAGTGGCGCACGCCTGTAATCCCAGCACTTGGGAGGCTGAGGCAGGAGGATCGTTGAGGATCGTTGTGAGTCCAAGACCAGCCTGGGCTACAAAGTGTGCTCAAGGCCAACCTGAACTGCATAGTGAGACCCTGTCTCAAAAAGACAAAAAACAAAAAAATAAAAATAAAAATAAAAGTTGGCAAAATGCATTTTGAAAAAGAGCATGCTTCATTTCTTCTGGCTGCAAATCAGTAGTAAAGAGACAGGAAACTTTTTCCTGTGAGATCAGGTTTGTTCTCTTTCTGTAGCAGTGGGCTGGGCCCCAGAGCCTCCCTGTGCGGGGTGGGCGCTCATGCTCGGCTGCACCCCAATTCCCCTAAGGCGGCATCGTCACGCAGCATCGCTGGCATCCTGAAGGATGCGCAAGCCCCATTCATACTGGGGCTGTTCGGACAACTTGGGTCTGCGTAGATCCTCGGTGTTCTCCCACGGCGTGACCTCTTGGCGGTCGTCCTCTGTAAGAACAGTGGGACTCATTTTCCCAAAAGACTTCAATGATGATTTCGTTGATGAACATTTTTCTTTTCAGTGCTAGAGACTGAGTCTAGGACCTTTGTGCTCCATGTGTGAGCTGTCCATCTTCCCTGCACCCAGTCAGCACTCGGGAGCGCAGAGCTGACTCCGGGGCGGCGCGGCGCTGTCCTCCCAGGGCAGACCCACGTCCCCACTCCCAGCCTTGTCCTTCCAACGGTCTGTGTCAGCGTTTCTATGGTGCGCCTGACGCACGGCGAACGTGCTCGCGAAGGGAACTGTACACACAGGGCGCCTCTTGGTCACTTCCGCTCCCTTTCCCCGTCTCCCCACCCCCAGAGTGCCTCCCACTCCGAAAGCCTGTTTCCTTCTGAGTCTGGTTTATTTCACTTGACCTCCTGGTCACAGGGTGCATCTGTTTTCCTGCGAACGGCTCTTTTGCCCTTGGTGCAGAGTGGCACTCCTTGGTGTGAAAACACATGTTCTTCCCCGTCCGTCTGTTGCTGGACACGCAGGCGCTTCCGGGGTTTAGCTGTTGTGAGTTGTGGTGCGTGGGCCACTGCAATTTTTTTTTTTTTTTTTTAGTACTGGGAATCAAACTCAGAACTTTGCGCTTGCCAGGCAGGCGCTGTGCCACTGAGCTCTGTCACCAGCCCCTGGTCCCTTAACCTTCGGGATGGCACCCAGGGGAGGTGCAGCCGGGACCCAGCCTTCTGCGGGACCCCGGCCCGGGTCCCTCTGGTGCCCCAGCCCCGCCTTCACTGTGTGCACTGTTACAGTGAAACTCGTGCCATCCGCTCAGCTGCCCTGGAGGCCCAGGCCTTGCTGGGGCGCGGCGGCTGGGCAGGAGGCCCTCTCTGGCCCCTTCTCTCGCGCTGTTCCCTGCTCTGCCTCCCGGCTGCGGTGGACCAAGCAGCTTTGCTCCTCCCACTGCGATGTCCTTGCTGGAGCCAGCCGGACAAGGACCGAGCCCTCTGGGACCCGGAGCCTGATCGGATCCCGCCCCTAGGTTGTGGGTGTTCAGTGTCATGTCCCTGCCGTGGGGGAGCTGACCACTGCGCACGCTTGACCTTCAGTGTGCCTCTGGTCTGGCGGCAGACGTGCTGGTGACCGGAAGCCTCCTGTACACCCCCGGTTCACCTGGGCATTTGTGAGCAATGACAAACGCAAGGCCCCAGCCCCACCTGCAGGGAAACCAGCCGCAGTGTGGGTTTCCAAGCCCCAGGGAAACGCTGGCTCTAGACTTGTCTCGGAGGGGCAGGGCTGTCCGCAGGTCTGCCGTCCACTAGGCTCCAGGCAGAGTTCTCCGCTGTTTCCGGCGAGTGAACGGTTGTTGAGTGAATCATACAGCACAGCGTGTATCCGAGTGGCCCGTGAGCCAGCCAGTCATCACGATGCTGAAGCAGCCCGGGGACACCAGGAGGTGGTGCCAGGAAGCCGGGGGCCCGTGCAGGGGCGTCTTCCCGGGAGACGCCGCACCGGGCTGCTGCGGTCAGCTGGGTCTTGTCCCCACCGTGTGGCCCTGGCCGGGGCTGCGTGGCCGGAGGCTGGGAGGCGTGTCGAGCGAACACGGTGTCGCGGGCCGGGGTCCCCGGGCCCTCCTCTCGTGTGAGGGCGGCACGCGGCGGCCCTGCCTTCAGGAGGGGCCCGGATGCAGGGGGGTGGGTCAGCGGCGTGCCAAGGTGGCAGCCGGGGCGTGGAGGCAGCAGGGAGCCGGGCGTGGGGTGCTGCGGCCGAGGTTCCGCGGGTGCGGTGAGTTAGCCGTCCCCACCGTGCGCCCACGGGGCGCCAGGAGTCCGGCGCAGCCCTCGCCAGGCCGGCAGCAGCGCGGGACCGGACTGGACAGCAGCCC